CCGTCCTTTGGCAAAGAAGGCCATGCCGTCCATATCTGTCGGCCTCTGCCTCGCCGCAAATACACCTGTATTCGGTGTGGATTGGGGCAGCTAGGCGGAGAGCCACGGCAATTCGGAGGGCCTGCGGTGTGAGACGGGTGCCGGTTGCTGACATTGGGGTTGCTAATAGGAAATCACCTGCATGGGGAGCTGCTACAGCTCTAAGTCGGGCAGTGTCATGTGGTGTTGTCGCAGCTTCTAGCAAAGTTGCAGCTTCTTGGTCGGCAATGGGGCGATCCCAGCTGGATTGCTTATGGGCTTCAGAAGGCGGTGGTTGGGGTGCTGGTCCTGCGAGAGAGACCCATTTGGTTGTGCAGTCTGTGAAGCTGGGATCATGCACCCCTGCCTGTTGAACTAGGTGCTCAGGTAGGATTTCCTTCACCAAGTTGTCAGACCCCACTGAAGAGGACAGGAACGCTGGTACAGCAATTTGTGTTGCTGTGCGCACGCCAAGGCCCCCGAGTCTGACAGGAAGGGAGGCCTGTTTCCACTGTGAGTCACTGAGGGAAAGATTGAGGGCTTTTTCTAGTGTTGATTTCAGCAAGCTGTCATACTCTTCTAATTTAATATTGTTGAAAGATGGCGAACATCTTAGAAAGTAGGTCAGCCTGGGGAGGGACAAGCATCTGGTGATGAGGTAAAGTGCATCATGAGCATCGATGTCTTCAATCCTCTCGTTCATCCTCTTCAGGTCAGTGATCTTCTTACCGAGGACCCCGTCGATGGCATTCCTTCCAAGAGGAGCACCTAGGAGTGTGCTGTCCTCAGGGTTGGTTGTATGAATGTCAGGCAAAACAACCTTTATTTGCTCTATTATGTGCTGGTTGGTGGAGGTTATTTCGCACTTGGAAGGGTTCAGGGTGAGGCCTAGGCTTGCTCCTTGCTCCTGGATTATTCTTATGTCGTCCAAGAGTGAGGCTGGGGAGCCGGCTAGAGTACCATCGTCCAAAAACCAAATGTTGAGCTCACTGGACAGGTTATCGGTGACTTCCTTGATAACTAGGCAGAACAGAAAAGGAGCAAGGGGGTCACCTTGTTGGACACCTTCTTGTGATTCAATTTCATGTTCCCCAAAAAGCAGAGTTAGATTCTTGCTGTAGCATGAGTTTACAAACGGGTAGAGGTTGGGATGGCTCTCAATGGCTCTTCAATGGCTCTTCAATGGCTTTTTGAAGGAGTTGGGGTCTAAGCTAATCGAAACAACTAGAGACCCTAGAGCTGCCAGTTTTCTTTTTCAGCGCTCTTTTTCAGCGCTCAATGGCTCTTCAATGGCTCTTCAATGGTTTTTTGAAGGAGTTGGGGTCTAAGCTAATCGAAACAACTAGAGACCCTAGAGCTGCCAGTTTTCTTTTTCAGCGCCTTAGTGTGGCCATCCAGAGAGCCATCCCAACCTCTACCCCCTGTACGTCCCCCTATATATATATATATATATATATATATATATATATATATATATATATATATATATATATATATATATATATATATATATATATATATATATATATGTATATATATATATGTATTCTATTTGGAACGAGTGTATAAGCCCCATTCGTTGGCTTTCATGTGCAAAAGTTTGACTGATAAAAACTATGAGTTCCTATGAAGTGGAAGTTGTAGGTTAGGTAGAACCTGTAATGCTGTCACTTTGAGGTTTATGGAGTGAACGGTGGAGCGTATGACGGCTTTGTTGTCGCTAGATCAAAGACGAGTGGGACACTGTGTGATGTGGTTGTGTCTCTGAGCATGAGATAAGCTTGTGTGAGCCTCACTGTGAGCAGGATGAGGCTTGGCATGAGTAGTTCTGTGCTCGTGGATGCGTGTGAGTCTGAGTGTCGATATACTGCCAAGGGAGTGTGTGTCTGTGTGGCCATGATTAGGTGTGGTATTACATGTGTATAAAGTGTCTCCAACTGAGTATTGTGGAGAAAACTGTTTTTGTAGACAATCTTGCTATATAATGGCGTTATTCTCATAATATCTTATAAACTAATAGAAACCATACTACACAGTGTAGTATAAAAAAGACTTATTTATGTGTGGTGAATATGAGGTTTGTTTGGGGCTAAAGTTTAGGTGTAAGGAGGATGAGGCACACAGGCTCACTAATATGTAAAAGACGTTGTTTTTACCTAGAAAATGTTCACTCTCAATATTTTGTGTTGTTGGATGGTAGAGCCTTCCATGTTTCCTCCTGCTACGGTCGTCTTCAATGTTGAGACGTTAACGATGACCAGGGTGTTGTCAATATTGACCTGGCTGATGTCACTGAATTCCCGAATGGTGCTATTAATGTCCTGGAAGCTGTCAGTGATAAAATGATCAGTGTCATTGACAGTTTGGTCTCTGATACCTCTCACACCACCTGTCAGTATAACAAGCTCTGCTGCCTCGCACACCACTTGTCAGTATAACAATCACTACTGCCTTGCACACCACCTGTCAGTATAACAATCACTGCTGCCTCCCACACCACCTGTCAGTATAACAATCACTGCTGCCTCCCACACCACCTGTCAGTATAACAATCACTGCTGCCTCCCACACCACCTGTCAGTATAACAATCACTGCTGCCTCCCACACCACCTGTCAGTATAACAATCACTGCTGCCTCCCACACCACCTGTCAGCATAACAAACACTGCTGCCTCCCACACCACCTGTCAGCATAACAAACACTGCTGCCTCCCACACCACCTGTCAGTATAACAATCACTGCTGCCTCCCACACCACCTGTCAGTATAACAATCACTGCTGCCTCCCACACCACCTGTCAGCATAACAAACACTGCTGCCTCCCACACCAACTGTCAGCATAACAAACACTGCTGCCTCCCACACCACCTGTCAGTAAAACAAGTGCTGCTGCCTCCCACACCACCTGTCAGCATAACAAACACTGCTGCCTCCCACACCACCTGTCAGCATAACAAACACTGCTGCCTCCCACACCACCTGTCAGTATAACAATCGCTGCTGCCTCCCACACCACCTGTCAGTATAACAATCGCTGCTGCCTCCCACACCACCTGTCAGTATAACAATCGCTGCTGCCTCCCACACCACCTGTCAGTAAAACAAGTGCTGCTGCCTCCCACACCACCTGTCAGTAAAACAAGTGCTGCTGCCTCCCACACCACCTGTCAGTAAAACAAGGGCTGCTGCCTCCCACACCACCTGTCAGTAAAACAAGAGCTGCTGCCTCCCACACCACCTGTCAGTAAAACAAGTGCTGCTGCCTCCCACACCACCTGTCTGTATAACAAGTGCTGCTGCCTCCCACACCACCTGTCAGTAAAACAAGTGCTGCTGCCTCCCACACCACCTGTCAGTAAAACAAGTGCTGCTGCCTCCCACACCACCTGTCAGCATAACAAACACTGCTGCCTCCCACACCACCTGTCAGTATAACAATCACTGCTGCCTCCCACACCACCTGTCAGTATAACAAGCGCTGCTGCCTCCCACACCACCTGTCAGTATAACAATCACTGCTGCCTCCCACACCACCTGTCAGTATAACAAGCGCTGCTGCCTCCCACACCACCTGTCAGTATAACAATCACTGCTGCCTCCCACACCACCTGTCAGTATAACAAGCGCTACTGCCTCTACGGTGCGTGTCTCAACACCTCCCAGAGGCAGCTCCGCCTCCCTGGATCAATACGCAGCTCATTATAGCCTTATTTCCTGCTCACGTAACCCAAGTGTTACGCGATACACTGAAGGCATCTCCAGAACCGTCTGAACGTCACTCCTGAAGCACAAGTGTTCTGGAAGGTCCACAGTGGAGCACCAGTGTTCTGGAAGGTCCACAGTGAAGCACCAGTCTTCTGGAAGGTCCACAGTGAAGCACCAGTGTTCTGGAAGGTCCACAGTGAAGCACCAGTGTTCTGGAAGGTCCACAGTGAAGCACCAGTGTTCTGGAAGGTCCACAGTGAAGCACCAGTCTTCTGGAAGGTCCACAGTGGAGCACCAGTGTTCTGGAAGGTCCACAGTGAAGCACCAGTCTTCTGGAAGGTCCACAGTGAAGCACCAGTCTTCTGGAAGGTCCACAGTGAAGCACCAGTGTTCTGGAAGGTCCACAGTGAAGCACCAGTGTTCTGGAAGGTCCACAGTGAAGCACCAGTGTTCTGGAAGGTCCACAGTGAAGCACCAGTGTTCTGGAAGGTCCGCAGTGGAGCACCAGTGTTCTGGAAGGTCCACAGTGAAGCACCAGTGCTCTGGAAGGTCCACAGTGAAGCACCAGTCTTCTGGAAGGTCCACAGTGAAGCACCAGTGTTCTGGAAGGTCCACAGTGAAGCACCAGTGCTCTGGAAGGTCCACAGTGAAGCACCAGTGCTCTGGAAGGTCCGCAGTGAAGCACCAGTGTTCTGGAAGGTCCACAGTGAAGCACCAATGTTCTGGAAGGTCCACAGTGAAGCACCAATGTTCTGGAAGGTCCACAGTGAAGCACCAATGTTCTGGAAGGTCCACAGTGAAGCACCAATGTTCTGGAAGGTCCACAGTGAAGTACCAATGTTCTGGAAAGTCCACTGTGAAGCACCAATGTTCTGGAAGGTCCACAGTGAAGCACCAATGTTCTGGAAGGTCCACAGTGAAGCACCAATGTTCTGGAAGGTCCACAGTGAAGCATTAATGCTCTGGAAGGTCAACAGTGAAGCGCCAATGTTCTGGAAGGTCCACAGTGAGGAAGCATTAATGCTCTGGAAGTTCCACAGTGAAGCATTAATGCTCTGGAAGGTGAACAGTGACTCATTAATGCTCTGGAAAGTCCACAGTGAGGAAGCATTAATGCTCTGGAAGGTCTACAGTGAGGAAGCATTAATGCTCTGGAAGTTCCACAGTGAAGCATTAATGCTCAGGAAGGTCCACAGTGAAGCATTAATGCTCTGGAAGGTTTACAGTGAAGCATTAATGCTATGGAAAGTCCACAGGGAAGCATTAATGCTCTGAAAGGTCCACAGTGAGGAAGCATTAATGCTCTGGAAGGTCAACAGTGAAGCATTAATGCTCTGGAAGGTCCACAGTGAAGCACCAATGCTTTGGAAGGTCCATAGTGAGGAAGCATTAATGCTCTGGAAGGTCCACAGTGAAGCATTAATGCTCTGGAAGGTCTACAGTGAGGAAGCATTAATGCTCTGGAAGGGCCACTGGGAAGCATTAATGCTCTGGAAGGTCCACTGTGAAGCATTAATGCTCTGGAAGGTCTACAGTGAGGAAGCATTAATGCTCTGGAAGGGCCACTGTGAAGCATTAATGCTCTGGAAGGGCCACTGTGAAGCATTAATGCTCTGGAAGGTCCACTGTGAAGCATTAATACTCTGGAAGGGCCACAGTGAAGCATTAATGCTCTGGAAGGGCCACAGTGAAGCATTAATGCTCTGGAAGGGCCACAATGAAGCATTAATGCTCTGGAAGGGCCACTGTGAAGCATTAATGCTCTGGAAGGGCCACAATGAAGCATTAATGCTCTGGAAGGGTGGAAGGGCCACAGTGAAGCATTAATGCTCTGGAAGGGCCACAATGAAGCATTAATGCTCTGGAAGGGCCACAGTGAAGCATTAATGCTCTGGAAGGGCCACTGTGAAGCATTAATGCTCTGGAAGGGCCACAGTGAAGCATTAATGCTCTGGAAGGGCCACAGTGAAGCATTAATGCTCTGGAAGGGCCACAGTGAAGCATTAATGCTCTGGAAGGGCCACAGTGAAGCATTAATGCTCTTTGGTGTGGAAGTGTTTGGTTGTTGTTTCTTAGGAGTACTTCTTGTACTCTTAAGTCTCAGTAATAAATCGGTGTTTGACCTGTTAGTGTTAGAGTGATTACTAGTACCCATATTACCTAATGACTGCGTCACTTTAGAGGGGTTCAGTTAAAGAATTTGATGTGGGTACTGTTTCTAAAGGTTTAGTATAGGCTTTCAGTGCTTGGTTTGCTTGTCTTTTCTTTACGACTGGACGCAAACCTTCAATGATGTCCTGCATTGTCAGGACTGTGTTATTTTGGTTTGAATATAACTCGTCTAGTACCTCCCTAGATAAATTTCTTTGGATGACAATTTTAGTCATCAACTCAGCAGTGGGTTGATCCACTTCACTGCTGAATGATTTTAGCAGTGACTCGAGTTTTTGGCTAAAAGGCTTGCAAGGAGTCAACTGATTGATCTGGCTGGATTAAGTCCAGTAACTGGTACACGAGATTTATGATAGCCATCTCTTTCTCAGCACTTTTCCTAGAGAGCTGAATTACTTGATTTTTGCTACTATTGTCAGCATTACCTCTAGGAGGCTGGTTTGAGTGATTAGGACTATCACTATTTTGGGTTAAAGTTTCTTGTTTAACTTCAGCTTCAACTTTTGTTGCAGCTAAATTCGCTCCCTTCTGTTCACTTTGGAGGCATATTGGTTCAGTAGCCTCATGTATTGAGTTCTTGGAATCCATAGAATATGTGGATAAAGTTTCTGAAAACTTTTCAGTTTCTGTTAATGTGTTTCTGTAATGTGTCATTGGGTGAAGCTGAATTGGATGAGGCTGTGGAGAATGAAGTTTTAACCTCAATTATTGATCCAGTGGAAGGATCTAACTTAATTACAGGAGTATCCTCATATTGATTTAGCTCATTTATTTTTTTCTGATGAGCTCCTCCTTGCCCTGCATAAATATTCTCTATTGCAAGCATCTTATTATAGTGATTTAACCTGGCCTGAATTTTGTCTTCATAGTTGGCACGGTCAGATTCGATTAGGTCTTTTTCATTTGGGTCGTAACTGATGAAGAGCTCGTTTCTATAAGACTCGTTCATTCTTTTTACTTGTTCGCATTTTTGGCTAGCCACTTTTGTGGAGATTCCTAGCTTCATGATATCAACTGGACGCATTTCAATCCAGCTGTCACATTTGTTGTATAGCCTTGTCAGGTGACTTTTAAGGCCTCTCAAATTTCTTTCTGTCTTTTCTGGAGTAGCCTTATTGGCTATGGGTTCGATCCTAATTGGGCTTATATGGCTATTATTTATAGCTAAGTTACCTGCTGATATATATGGAGCAGGTATTGTGGGGATGATGGCCTGGTATTTAATTTCTACACTGCTATATAAATCCTATCTCCTATGGAGGTTGGCATACAAATTAAATATTAATTATATACAAGATTTGAGTGATACTCTGTACCCCTAAAAGAGGTTCCTAGGGTTAGTCCTTCTCGTTCGCCATCGGATGGGTAGTGGTACTTCGTAGCACTTAAAGAAGAAACATATTAAAATATTTTAAAGATATGGGCAAACAATTTGTGTAAATAATGAGTCCCACCCTAATTAGGGTCTGCACAATATTAATAGTTGATTAGGTAGTACTGCTTGATACAGCACTAGCCTAATAATAAGCCAACCTAACTAGGTGGTTACTAATAATGGGTTAGGCTAGAGTTGTACATTATTCAGTACAATTGCAGTCTAAGAAATCCTACCCTATATGGGTTGGCATATAATATTTATAATAATGATAATGAGCAAATTCAGAGCAGTGCTATGTTTTTGGATTTTATAATTTTGTTTACATAGAGTATATAGTTATATGGAATATGCTGTTATAGTTGTATATACAAATTATATACAAGTTACTTTTGACTTTCTTGCCACAATCTCCTGTGATGATTTATTGTATTGATTAATTTGTTGGTCACATGTGTTCTAGACTCTCGTGACAGGTGAACTCCGTCTGGAGAAAGGTTTTTACAAAATGGTCTAGCTGTAAATTGTGTGTAAGTAGCCTCCAATCTCACCCTTCTTCTTAGCCAAAAATTTATATAGTTGGCTGCACGTTTGTAAAATGCTGGACTTACTCCCCAACTTTAAAGTGAAGACAACTGTACAGTTATTTTCTTTAAAGGAGTTGATTATGTTTCTAAGATAATTGTTTTGGCTGGGTGTCGAGTTGGATGCATATCATTGCCGCCAAGATAAATAATTGTTAGATGGTGCGGCCACTCTAAAGCCTCTGTAAATATGAGATTGCTATAACAGTTATGAGCTGTTGCTCCAGGAGACCTAAATATTTTCACTTCTGTATTAGGTATGTGACAGTATTGTGGGTAGTTAACTCTGGCCCACTATTGCCACTTTATACATCAGGCTTTAGCTTAAAAGTAATGGAGATAATTACTTGATTTATTATTAGAGTTTATTGAGTTAGGCTGCGATGTGGCAGTCTATTGACAGCCATAAATGTTAATTTAATTTAATTGTAGATAGCCTAACTACTGGCCAAACTCTTCATTAAAGAGATATCTTGTGTCGAGGTACCATAAAATGTATGGATCGTGAACCAGTAATTTAAATTTGATAAACTGGATTATCCGGTTCGAAGGACTATACAAAAATTGGGGGAAGCTCTCCAACATGTAATGGAACCAACATGTAATCGTATCTGTCTGCTATCTCAAAGAACTTCTCCTGCTTGAGCAATCCCGGGCAGCTCATGCCTGTAGAGAGGTTACCTCCCTGGGAGGATGACTCATGCAGGATTATCATCAATGAAATGGCAACGAAAAAATCCAACATGATACTACTAGAAATGAGACACAAGTATCTCGAGGAAATTTATAAAGAAGCCGGAGATAAACTAGATCAAATCTGCAGTGACAGGTCATCTAATCCTGTCAATGGCAGGGCTGGTGCAGCATACACGGTAATTAAGGATAATGCTTTCCAACACAAAAATGAAGAAAAAGCGCGTATTGAGAACTATGCCTCTTCAACACAAGCAGAGCTAACTGCCATTGGTATGACGTTAAGGTTTCTTGAACGGAACATTAATTGTGCTGTGATTTGCACTGATTCAAAAGTAGCACTGAAAAGCCCAAGTAAAAATCGGGCAGAAAATCTTGCAATAGTCACTGAATTCAAGAGAGGTGTGAGAGTACTTACCAATCAGGGAAGAGTCATCAGATTTCTATAGATCCCCTCCCATGTGGGAATGAATGAGCAGATGTGCTGGCTGTTGAAGGAGACCTTATTGAATACTTCATACCCAAAACTCTATTACAAATTAGTGGTATAGGTATAGTCAGGCAATATCACCGTGACAAGGTATTTGAGGAAAGGAGGATAAAAGCACAAACCAGTGAATCTGTACGATGGTACAACATGGTTGCAGCTCGCAACCCCAATTATTTTGGACGAAGAGGAGGAGGACACGAGAGAGAATCAATAATAGCAAGAATCCGTCTTTGATACAAATATCCATAAAGATACGGAATGGAAACAACAGTTGATCAGCGAACTTGCTGAATCTGTGATGAGAGTGACGGACACCGCCTTGACCACTATCTATGTGAATATGAACACCTGAGAGACATTCGAAATATGTGTAGAATAATAAACCCCACATTGAGTTAGGAAAACAATATTTGTCAAATATTGATACTGTTCTTAAAAGATTCCCCCATTTTGCACCCACAAGATAACGTAAGCTTTTACGGGTTGACAGATGTCAATCTTCTTGTTTCAGTTGTTCACTTGAGACAGTTAACCAAGTCCCAGCTGTGTCTGGGTACAAGTGACAGAATGAACAACCCAGTCCATTTTCTTCCTTTTGGGGAGTGTTGTACATGCTGCTATGACGGTGTGTCCACTCACAAGATGAGTGGCGCTGCCCAATAAACTCGCCCCTGGGGGCAAAATTTAAAAAAAATTAATGTAATCAGATATAATAGTAATGTAAATAATTGACTGAATTAAATATTAGAGAAGTGGAATGTAAAAACTTCTAAACATAATTTGGATTATTTCCCTTGCACACTTTTTTGGGGGTAAAACCAATAATTGCTAGAGTTACCTGTTGCATATAAATGTAGAAATAATTAAAATAAAATAATAAATTTCATTAATTAATCAAGTTATAGAGTTAGTAAGCTAACTACAATGTAATATTATATACACAAGTGTAGTCAATGCCCCA